TTTCTAAAGTGCATAAACTTTTGGGATTGACTGTCACTACATCCTTAACGAATCCATAGATTTGCATATACACTCTCTAGCCGGGATTGATTCTTAGCGGAGACGGCGAATTAATAATTGCGCGCGATTGAATTAATAAGCTTGATTAAAACTCGCCACTGTGCCGCCGCGAACATATTAGTCACGATACCATCTCGAACTCGGAATGATACCGTTCGAAATTCTTACGACTCCGGCTGAGAAAAGTTGTTACGCTCGTTGGGAGATGGTACATACCTTGATGCGTATCAAATTTCAGTCGCGCAATACCCGAGAGAACGTGGAAAGAAATCAACCGTGGGCCGGGCATTATTAATTCCTTTATAAAAAGTCAAGTACCAAGGAGAAACAGTCTTGCGCAATTTCATTTACATAGGATTTTTATTTCACCGTCGGGAGAGGCCCGCGTGAATTTTTATGCCCCCGTACCTGTGGAAACGAGATCGAGAGATCTGCCAGAGGGTGAATCGATTTCGATCGACTGCTGCTCCTGGCTAAAAGTATTTCGTCAAACATGTTTAAAGCGTAGCATGTAATTATTCGATATTCATCGTGCTGGTGCATACGCATAAAACAATTCCTATATAGTTATCATATTTCTGCGTCAGACTCTTCGCTAGAAATAGCGTAATCGAGAGCACCTGTGCGATGTAACGATAATTAGAATGAGCGCGGCATCGGCGAAGATGTTGCGCGAATATCGCACAAGGGTGAAAGGTCTCCCGATTTATCTATCTGGAATACGATTTGTTAGTTTAAACATAGAATTCGAGACAATCGTCGGGTGTTGGGAGAATTTATCGCGAATCGTTTACGCCGAGCCTTTTTGATCGATAACTCGCCGACGACGGTGACTCCGTAGCCCCGGTTATCTAAGCCGATGTTTTTGCCGGGGAGGAAGACTTATCGTCGTTGACAGTTTCGCATGAATTAGGATGCAGATCCGTCGATGAAGTCGTAGGAAATTTATCACGATGTTATCGAATCTTTCTTTGGTTCCATATCGATAAGAACAGTTTAATCGTTGCCAGTCGCGCTCGCGGGGAAAATCCCCTGCTACTTTTTTTTCGGCTCATGAATTTCCCCGTTGCCGGCGGTAAACGACGATTCATTGTGTCCACGTGGCCGTGCATTCTGGCTTAACGACGGGCCACGTGTTCCCTTTTAATGCGCGATTCTCGTCCGATCGTGAACGTCGCTCAGGCCGAGGATTAACAAGATTCGTTCTTCCTACGAAAGAGACACGCACGGTCGCGCGATAAATCCGGTTAAATCGTTTCGTTTAAATCTTAGACGGCGGGGTGCATTATTATTCGAGCTCGGGGAGGTTCGCGTCGCAGTTTTTGCGGCTCGTTTGAAAAAGCGAACGAGCCAGTCGAAGGATCGGTTTGTTACAGCGATGCGTTCATATAGTTTTTGCACGGCCGGTGCAGTTTACGTCGAATCTCTCTAAACGATAATCGCAAATCGATTTCCCAGGATCGGGGCCCTGGAAAAATGAAGTCTCGATGAAACAGGCACCAGCTCATTTTTTCGAGCGGTGCCGCTCGGTGTTCCTCCCAGCTGCTAATTCGGAATTTAAAGTATAATGTTCGCTGATGTTCATTGTCTCGGGTGGCTTAGCGCACACGTCGGCGAATTACCAGGACAATGCCGGTAA